GGGAATTCTGGGAATTGAAGTCCACATATCTTAAAGTGGCCAAGGTTGACAAACATTGATCTAGGGAGAACTGCAGCCCTTAAAGGCCTCCAATTAAACCCTTCCCAGCCCTGGAATTCAATCCTACCGTTGCTCCAGTGCTGAGCGGAAAAAAGACAGAGGTGTGCCCTCCAGATGTGGGGTGCCTCTGCTCCCAGAACGGCCACTGGGATCACGGGCACCGAAGCCTAACCGAACAGCAGAGCTTCCAGGTTGGGTCAGGCTGGACCAGATGACCTCTAGGTGCCCCACCCACTCTGGGATGCCATGATTCTGGCCAGGAGTTGCCCAGTGTGTTCCTCTCGCAGGCCCAGTATGAAAATCCCCCCCACATCTACGCACTGGCGGACCAGATGTACCGCAACATGTTGATCGACAGCGAGAACCAGTGTGTCATCATCAGGTGAGGCTGGGGGGCATCTGCGGGGTGTGTGTGCCAGGGGTCTGTTGAAAGCTCATTTCGGGGTCTGATTCCTCCCTTTCCTCTCCTAGTGGGGAGAGCGGAGCTGGCAAAACCGTGGCTGCCAAATACATCATGAGTTACATCTCCAAGGTGTCCGGCGGAGGGCCCAACGTTCAGGTAGCCGTTGCTCTGACGCCAAATAACCCCCACCCCGTTCCCACCGGCCCAGCCTTGGTTTGGCTGGCAGCGGGGCAGAGGGTCCCGTGTGAAGCTGCCCGTTTTCATTCCAGCACGTAAAAGATATCATCCTGAAATCCAACCCGCTTCTGGAGGCGTTTGGGAACGCGAAGACAGTGCGAAACAACAATTCAAGCCGATTTGTGAGTGCCGGGGAGAGATCTGGCGGATCCTAAATCTTAGACATTCCGGTCCCAGTTGCCGTCATAAGTCGAGGACTATCCTGTCCATAAACAAGAAAAAAAACCCATCTGGTTCTCCAGAAATTGAATTATAGAGCAGTTCTCTTTTAAGGAATGATGGTATATGAGGGCGCATTGAATAGGTGGGATTTCTTTATGTCCAGATGTAATTTCAGTGAGTCAGGTTTCCTTTGAATTTATCTTCTGGTGACTCAATGGATACGTCCCAGGACTTTTCTCAGAAACATCGTGGAACATTTGACTGTTGTCTTCCTCCAAGGGGTTTTTCTGTCTTTCCAATCCAAAATACTTCCCCAGGATCTCCTGGTGGTCCCTCAACCAGGTCTGGCCCGATGGAGCTTTTTGAGATCGGCACACTCAAGCAAGTGCTGCCCCCTAGTGCGTCGGGTTCCAATTACAGGGTCCAAAGGGACCAGTAAATGCCTCACCCACAACCACAAACTTAGGCAGAGCGGGTGAAAATTACGGACGTGCAGCAGAAAAGGGTCCCCTTCAGCATTGGGAGCAGGGGGGGTGCGAAAGGGGGAAATTTAAGAACACTCCGTTTTCCCCCAGGGCAAATATTTTGAGATCCAGTTCAGCCGCGGTGGGGAGCCGGACGGAGGCAAAATCTCCAACTTCCTGCTGGAGAAATCTCGCGTGGTCAGCCAGAACCCTGGCGAGAGGAACTTTCACATCTATTACCAGGTGAGCGTGCCCCCATGGAGCGTGACCCTAACCCTCTGGATGTGTTCGACTCCCATCCCCATCATCCACACCCTCGCCCACGGCCGTCGGTTCTGGACACCCTGATCAAAATGCTGCGTTTTCAACCTGCCGCTTCTGTTCCCCTTGTCTGGACGCAGCTGCTGGAGGGAGCCAGCCCGGAGCAGCGGGAGAATTTGGGGATCACCAGCCCGGACTACTACTACTACCTCAACCAGTCAGCGGCGTATAAGGTGGACGACATAAACGACCTGCAGGAATTTCAGGAGACTTTGGTAGGGACACGTGGCTCGACGTGCTGCTGGTGGGGGACGTTTTCACCCAAAGCGTCTCAGCCTTCCAGGGAAACGCACCCGGACGTTGTTTGAAAAATGGGCTGGGGGGGCATTCTTCAACCCCCCTGTCCACCATCCTGGACTACGCCCCCCATGATCCCTGCCCACCTCCTTGCTAGCGGGGCCTGATGGAACCGTAGTCCAGAAGAGGCTGCTCTGAGGTTAGAAGGGAAGAAGCAGATTTAAAAAGAAGCCTCCGTCAGTCAGACCTTGAACATTTCTCCTGTAATATTTGACTCGGAGGAACTCCTTCCTCTGGGGCAAGGCCCATGGGGACTGGGGCAGGGAATCGTGCCCCTCTGCTGCGTATGCAACAAAGCTGGTTTGGCTCCCCGGGCACAGAGGGGACCCCAAGGGGCTCCCAGTCTGCACTAAAAATGTAAGAAGCAAAGAGGAACCCAGTTTTGCTGTTCAGGGAGTGGCTAGGGCTGGCGTGGCATCTGTTCAAAAGCAACGTTTACCAACATAAACTACCAGGCTGAAAGGGGAGTGGAGCCGCTGAGCCTTTGCCCAGGGCCCGCGACGTTTGGGTTGGCTTCGCTCTCGCTGTGCCGCGGGGGAGCCCCGTTTTCACGTGGTGGATGTCTTCCTCCTCCTCCTCCTTCTCCTCCTCCTCCTCCTCCTCCAGACAGCCATGGAGGTGATTGGCCTCTCGGAGGAAGAGCAGGCCCTGGTGCTGCAGATTGTGGCTGGCATCCTGCATCTGGGCAATATCACCTTCCGAGAGTCGGGCAACTACGCCGTGGTGGAGAGCGAGGACTGTGAGTCTGGGCAGCGTGACTGGCTTCAGCCGAGAGCGGTGGGGTGGTGGGCTTTGCAGAGGGTCCCAATCAGGGGCTCTGGGCAAGGCAGGGGCCACGGCCACTGAGGAATGGCTGAGGGCCCCACAGGGCGTGCCCTCCTCTGCCCTTTTGGGCTGGGTGGCCGAAGATCAGGGAAGGACATGGCCAGTTCAGCTGCTGCTCCATCCCTCCTGCAGTCCTGGCCTTCCCGTCCTACCTCCTGGCCGTCGACCAGCAGCGCCTTCAAGAGAAGTTGACCAGCCGCAAGATGGACAGCAAGTGGGGCGGCCGGCAGGAGGTCATCGACGTGACCCTGAACGTGGAGCAGGCCAACTTCAGCCGAGACGCCCTTTCCAAAGCCCTCTACGCTCGCCTCTTCGACTACCTGGTGGATGTGAGTTGCCGGCCGGGCCCCAACCAGCCCCCCAGGGGCATCTCTGAAGCCAGGGCGTCAGGTTTAGCTGCTGTGCGAATACGGGCGGCGAGCACCCATGGGCCGTGGCAGTGCGGCTCTCGCGAGACGGGGAGAGAGAAAGAGCAAGCTGTCGGTCGCTGCCCCTGGCCGACCTCGCCACCCCGCTTGGAAGAAAGCCGCTTGGGTGGGGTTGCCAGGAAAACTGCCTGGGGGGTGGCACGGGGTCGCCAGGCGTCTGATTCAGAGAGATTGGTGGCAGAATAGCCTGTGTGGCTTTGGGGAGCAGTGGCGGGCCTGGCAGTCGCCGCAAAATTCTCCCTGCAAATTCTCCCGGCTGTTTCTCCCTGAATGCAGACTTTCTGACGGAGGGGAACTCCAGGTGCGCTTCAGCTGGAAAGCGACCTTCCCTGTCTGCCGGAGGAAGAGTCTACCCCTCTTTTGTTCCTCGTTTTCTCCCCCTTTTTTCCTGTTGCCCTCCTCCCCACGCACTCTCTTGCTCCCTCTTCCAGGCTGTCAACAAGGCGATGCAAAAGGAGCATCAGGAATATAACATCGGCGTCCTTGACATTTACGGCTTTGAAATTTTCCAGGTAAACCTGTAGCGCGGCTCCCTCCATTTCCTGGGTCCCCAGACGGGGAACAAGAGATCTTCCCACAGAAACGTCTTCTCTGGGACGTCCTGCCCGTCACAAATGGTCACTTGAAGTTCAGAGTTCATCAATTTAATCGATCGAGCGGGTGCCACAAGAGGGGCACTGTTGCAAAGCAGCCCGGCTGGGCAAACACGACATCTTGCCTGGTTGCACGCGTTTGGGAGCTGAATTTGGGGAGCTCAGCGTGGCATCTGGCGTGGCCGGTCTGAGGTGCCCATTCTCTCCTTCCAGAAAAATGGCTTCGAGCAGTTCTGCATCAACTTTGTGAACGAGAAGCTGCAGCAGATTTTCATCGAGCTGACCCTGAAGGCTGAGCAGGCGAGTGCCTTTTTTGCAACCCGGGATCGCTTTGCACTTGGTTGGCCGCGGGCTGGGGGCAAACGTTGGACGGCGCAGGATGCTAGTCGGTCGGTCCCCTCGGAGGCTCTGCGGAGTGGATTTAGGAAACAGAAAGCAAGGAGCTGGATTCCAGAACTAATAACCTCCTTCTCAGTAATGGCTAGACGTACAACAAATGTCCACTTTATGGCGATCGTTGACAGTTCCTTGAGAAAACAAACGGCTGTGTAAAGTCATTTGTGATCCGGGGACTTCAGTGGGAGAGAACCGTAGATGGTCAAGGAGGATTGGCCGGGGCTGGGGACATCACGAACTCACAGCCACACGGAGACTCGTGTCTCTTTTTCTATCAATTTCTCCCTGTTTTATTCCTTCTCCCGTTCTCTGTCTCCCTCCTGTCCGTCTCGCAACCATCCCACTTCGGTCTGCAGGAGGAATATGTTCAGGAGGGCATCCGGTGGAACCCCATTGACTATTTCAATAACAAAGTTGTGTGCGACCTGATCGAAAACAAAGTGGTGAGCGAAAACCCGCCTTCCCCATGTAGACCTTATTTATTTAAACCACTATGGGTATGGCCCCGCTCCCCTCCGTTCTCGGTGGCTGAAAGGAACGCTAAAAACTTTTCGATTCTTTGCCGGGCTGAATTCCTTGCAAGGTGCCTGGATTTTATCGTCTGAGATGCTCCAAAGGAGGGTGTTTAAGGAGATGTGAGGGTCCTGACCTACCCAGGGAAAAAAGGATTTTGATTTATTTTTTTTTTAAATTTTGGAGGAGAGGAAAATATTACCAGATTGCTTTAAATCTGCAGTGGAAACGTGCCACTTCTGGGTTTGCACAGTAATTTTTGCATGGTTTTGCAGGGGGAGAAAAAGACTTCCAAAGCACAGGAGAATCAGACAGGACTGCGGGGAGGAGGCAGAATTCCTTTGCTCCCTGCCTTTTATCTTGCTTTTCTCTTCCTTGCCCCCCCCAGAATCCCCCAGGACTCATGAGCATCCTCGACGACGTCTGTGCCACCATGCACGCCAAGGGCGAGGGGGCCGACCACACCTTGCTGCAGAAGCTTCAGTCGGCGCTTGGCACACACCCCCATTTCAACAGCTGGAACAAGGGCTTCGTCGTCCATCACTACGCTGGCAAGGTAAGGGCTCGGGGCGCCCCATAGGAGCCCGTGGGGACCACCCCGGGGCCAGCTGGACTTCAAGCAGCCCGTTTCCTGGCTCTGCAGGTGTCCTACGACGTGGAAGGATTCTGCGAGCGCAATCGGGACGTCCTGTTTACGGATCTCGTTGAGCTGATGCAGAGCAGTGAAATGTGAGGGCCCGTGTGTGTGTTGGGGGGGGGGGTTGCAAGACTTGATGGTCCCTAGAGCAGTTCTCTTCCTGCCCCTTTTCCTAAACCTTGGTTCTGCTCCAGTCTTCTTCACCTCTGTCCAAACAGCGCATCTCTGGAGGGAGGTGTTGCAGCTGAAGGACCCTTTTGAAGCCCACCTCTCTCCCCCCCACAAAATGGGAACTTTCAAGAGCCGATTTCCTCAGCCAGGGTGGGAGGAGGTCTGAAAAAAGAGGCAGGGAAGTGCTTGGAGTGTTAATAACGCCCCACGCGAGGCGCCCACCGGGCTCTGCGGGCGATCGCTCCCTCCCGGGGCACTAAAGTTCGCTGCTTCTCCGCCTCTCCTTCCAGCCCGTTCATCCGAGACCTCTTCCCCGAAAGCCTCAGCATGGAGAAGAAGGGGCGCCCGACCACGGCAGGCAGCAAGATCAAGGTATGGGGGGCACAGGCAAGGAAGGGAGCCCCTTGGCAACTGCGGGAGTGGGAGAAATGCAGACCCTCCTCAGTGCCGCTGGCCAGGGAAGGAAGGAACCCTTTTGCTCTTTGGGAAACTATTTGCACGTACAGTGATGGTGACTAGCGGCAACCTGGTCTTTCTTCTCTTCTCCTTCTCTTCTCCTTCCTCTTCCTCTTCTGCCTCCTCCACCATCTCCTTCCTCCTTTTCCTTTTCCTTCTCCTCCTCCTCCTCCTCTCCTTCTCCTTCTCTCTTTCTTTCCTTTCCTCCTTCCTCCTCCTCTCCTTCTCCTTCTCTCTCCTTCCCCCCAAAGAAACAAGCCAACAGCTTGGTGAGCACGCTGATGAAGTGCAGCCCCCATTACATCCGATGCATCAAGCCGAACGAAACCAAGAAGCCTCGAGACTGGGAGGAGAGCCGGTGAGGAGGCGCCTGTGGGGTCCCGGGCCCAGAGGGAGCGCGGGAGGGGGCTGCCCTATAGTTTTGCCCAATCCTTAAGGCCGGGGACACCTGGACTCTCAACCCCCGGGGGATCCAGTGCTGCTGTTCCCCCCAATCGGGCGCCCTCCCTCCACTGTTCCGGCCACTTTGGCTGCTCCCCCACCCTCTGCCAGAAACCCCGCTCGCTGGGGACGATGGCAGTTGGAGTCCAAGATTGCAGGAGAGATGCCCGGGAAGGTTACTTTCTGGGTCGCCGGCTGTGATTCTCCCATCTTGGCGTACTGGTGGGGCAAGGGGGTGCCAGCACTTGCGCCCTCCTTGAGAGGAGCTCCGTTGCCAGTCCCGCTGGGCAAAGAAATGCTGCGAAGTAGCTTAAGGAGGAGTGGATCAATTCTTGCCAAGGGAGAGGTCGATCCGCCATGATAGCTGAAAACGAAGGAGCCTCCACACGCAGAGGCAGTATATCCCTGAAGATCTGGCAGGGAGGAATCACCACGGAGGCTTCACAGCCCGCCTGCAAGCTTCACCAGGAGCCCTCGGCTGCCTGCTGACGGAAGGAAGAAATTAACTCTGACCCCGTGTGAAAAGGAGCAACCCGCTTCCCATTATATCAACCAGGATTGCTTAAAATGCATGTAGAGGGAGCCGCCTCCCGCAGGGACCCGCTATTTGCGTCGTGGGTGATGGCAGCAAGGGAGCAGGGCGGGGGCTTCAAAGACCCCTCAATTTTTGCATCCTTCCCAGGGTGAGGCATCAAGTGGAATACCTGGGGTTGCAAGAGAACATCCGGGTGCGCCGGGCCGGGTACGCTTATCGGCGCGTTTTCCAGAAATTCCTCCACAGGTGAGAGCCGCGTTCCGGCCTCCTGGCAGCCCCTCACTCACCCCGAAAATGTACTTCTTCGGCCCGCTCGCCCGCCTTTCGCCGAAGCTCGATCCGCCGGGCACCTTCTGAGGAACAGCTCTCTGTCCCGTGGTGCCAGGCTCAGAGATCCCTTTGGCATTTGGGGCGGCACCCGAGGGGGTCCACCAGTCCGGGGAGTCTCCCCTCCTCCTCTCCTTTGCTCAGGTATGCCATCCTGACGCCGGAGACGTGGCCCTCCTGGCGCGGGGACGAGAGGCAGGGCGTGGTGCACCTGATGAAGTCCGTCAACATGGACCTCGACCAGTTCCAGCTGGGACGCACCAAGGTGTTCATCAAAGCCCCCGAATCGGTGAGCGCGAGGAACCAGTCAGGGAACGCGGGCAACTGGCGTCGAAGAAAACAGTGACATGCGGAGAGACGCCTTGGGGAGGGACGTTGTGCATTTCGACCCCTTCGCCCTCTTGCCTCGTGGTCACACCAGGCCTCGCCGTGTGAGATTTCCCTCTTCCTCTTTGTTCTCCCTGCAGCTTTTTCTTCTGGAGGAGATGCGGGAGAGGCGCTACGACGGCTTCGCCCGGGTGATTCAGAAGGCCTGGCGCAAACACGTGGCTGTCCGTAAAAACATGCAGATGAGAGAGGAAGGTGAGCCGCCGGACGCCCAGCCAGCCAGCCCTGCGCACTGGGACGGGTGGCTGGCAGGCAAAAGAGGCCGTGCGTTTGCCAGGCTGCAGCCAAACAGCCGGGGGCACCCCGCACTGCGGCACCTTGCGCAGACCACCGGGAGAGGAGCCAGATGTTGGGCCGACGGGGCCCTCATCTTTTCCCAGATGCGTCAGCTACCTTTCTGCTTTGCTGGTGCTGTTTTTGGTATTTTAATGTAAAGCGAGATTCCCACCATCGGGCTAATAGCTGCTGAAAGGTCCTCTGAGAGGAGCGGGGGGCTTTAAATATTTTACCACAATCATCATGGTCTGCCACTAGTTTGCACAAAGCTCACTGAAGGGGGCTGGACAGAGCCGCATCCTACGAGCCCTCGGGTTTACACCGCCGTTCCCAAAACGTGGTAGAACAGAGGATGCTGGTTTTGGGGCTGAGATGGCCCAGAGGTGAATGCCTTCGTCCCACCCTTTCCTCCAGTCCCAGTGGGGGCCTTAGAAATGCTCCCCCCCCCCCGAGGCTAAGGGGAGGAGAAATGGCTGAATCCTCCCCCTCATTTCTCTCCTCTGCAAAAGTTGGGTGCTGAATTCAACGTTGGGTTTGTCCAAGCGCAGTGACCAACCTGAGCCACCAGAGGGCAGCATTTCCCCTGCCCTTTGGAGCAGCCCATCTCCTCCTCCTGCAGAGGAACGGGGGCCCGGCGGCCTCTGAGCACGCGAAGAGGGGCTTACACCTTGCGCCCCGAGCCAACTGCAGCAGGGCCTCACCCGGATTTTTTCCACCTCCCCGCAAAGCTTCCAACATCGTCCTCAACAAGAAGGAGCGCCGTCGCAACAGCCTGAATCGCAACTTCATGGGAGACTACATCGGCTTGGAGAACCACCCTGAGCTCCGACGCTTTCTGGGCCGGAGGGAGCGCGTCGACTTCGCCGATACCGTCACGAAGTATGACCGGCGCTTCAAGGTGAGCCGTGCGTGGCTGGGTCTCGCTGCTTAACTGTTGCCTCCCATCGCCTGGCAGATAGGCAATTCCTGCGGCTGGAGGCTCTACACCAGAGCTAGCAAGGTGTTTCACGGCAGAATTGGGCCTCCCTCCCCCAGGAGGCCTCGGGCAGCTGCTCTCTCGGGTGTTGGGCTGGAGGGCCCCTGGCTGCAGCTGCGTGTTGCCCCTCTGAAGCACCACCTGGCGCTCTTGCCGGCTGGGGGTGCCAACTCTTCCCCGTTCCTCTGGCAGACGGTCAAGCGGGACCTGATCCTCACCCCCAAATTCCTCTACCTGATCGGCCGGGAGAAGGTAAAGCAGGGGCCCGACAAAGGGGCCATTAAGGAGGCCCTGAAGAGGCAAATCGAGGTGGAAAGGATCCAGTCGGTCTCCCTCAGGTGAGCGGGGAGGATCGGGAACGGGGCACGGGGTGCCTCTTCGACAGGTGGGAGTCAAAGGCCTTCCTGAGCCACTTGGCATCTGGGGAGGGGGCTGGAACTCCCTCCCGCTGGGCAACCTGAGATCCCCAGAGGTTGGCAGATGTTCCTCCTCCCAGTTCTTCAGCCAGCCCCAGCGTGATTCCCCCAGGCCGTGGCCCCGGCCCCTTCTTGGTGCTTATGGGGGGGCAATGCAAATAGGACACAGGTCCCCCGCCCCCTCCTGACTGCCCCCGGGTCCCTTTAGCACCCTGCAGGATGACTTCATCATCATCCATGAGCCCCAGTACGACAGCGTCCTGGAGTCCGTCTTCAAGACGGAGCTTCTGAGCCTGCTCTGCAAGCGGTACGAGGAAAGGACCCAGAAGCAGTTGCCCATCAAGTTCAGCAACCAGTACGTAGCAGCCTTCCTGCCAGGCTCCTCTCCCCCAAGGCTTCCGGGGTAGACTCCTCCTGGACATGGAGGATTTTTCCACGGCTCGTTAGGGCTGGTTAAGGAGAGAAAAATTGTTACGGTGGATGAGGCAAACTCACAGCCCAGTTCCTCTTGGAGCTGCTTTGGCCAGTCTCCCCAGAAGTAGGGTGGGACCTCACAGCAACATGGATGGGAGACCATGAGGAAATCCCAAGTCAAAAAACACCCCAGAAAGCAGCAGTGGCAAACTGCTTAGCGGTTACAAGGATTGAGGTCTTGAACCCAACCCTCATTTGCCACTCTGACCTGAGAAAGGCAGGACCCCAGTTTCTGCACCGCAGACCTCGCCTCGTCCTCTGAATCCCACCCCCGTCTCTGCATCTCCCTCCCAGGCTGGAGTTCAAGGTGAAGAAAGATGGCTGGGGACCCTGGGGAGCGGCCGGCTCCCGCCAGATCCAGTTCCAGATCTGCCAGGGGGATCTGGCTCTGCTCCGCACAAATGGGAAAGTCCTGGTGGTCAGCATCGGGCCCGGTCTGCCCCGCAATGCCCGTAAGTCCGGCGATGCGAGATTTGAGGCAGGAGGGAGGCTGAGCTCGTCTTCATCGCGAGTCCCTGATGGAGATCACGATGAACGGGGCTGCTGTCGGGCAGAGGATAAACATTTTGCAAAATTCCCAGGACCTAACCGGAAGGACACCCGGAAAAGCCGTTACTCTGGAGGAGGCCCCGCCCTCGGCTGGCACGCTCCAACCAGCGCAGGTAGCCGTTTCCTTGCCCGCTTCTGCTCCGTCGGGGTTGCCCGAGTGCCCCGATTTCACGGATTCTCATAAGCCAGCGTTTCCCAATCCAGGGCCCCTTGGAGAGACGGCCGACCCCTCTCAGAACCCCCAAAGTGACCCTCCTGGCTGGGGACTGACCCCCGGTTGGGAGGGGCTGTGCAGAAGCCAACAGCTGCCCCCAGACCCGGCGGGCTGGCTTCCCAGGATGACCGTTCAAAATGCCTCCTGGGTGTCTCTAGCATCTTTTGGCAGGGTGCCTGTGTCTGCTTTGCGGAGTTGCTGGACATGTGGCACTTGCCTTCCCAGCCCAAGGTGGCAGCTGACTTTCTCTTTCTCGGCAGGTTCGCAGTGGGGCCAGCGTGGCCGTGGGGCGAGGCCCTCCTTCCAGCACCGGCACTCCATGACCCGGCAAGCCAGCGTGGAGCAGCCCAGCCTGCCCCGCCAGGGTGCCAGCCCGCGTGCCCGAGCCTTTCCCGCTCAGCTTGACCTGGGCTTCATGAACGTCCCCGACCAAGGAGTAGCTGGGTGAGGGGGAGTCTTCCTTGGGGGGCTCAGCCACGCTCCTCCGAGGGTTCTCTTCCTTTTACCCCAGCTGGCCCTCCGTGGGGTTCACTGCCTTCAAGCAGGGACCTCGGAAGTTTTGCGCCCCAAGACTCAGTGCTTTGCTCACCTCTTCTGGGAGGCTGGGAACCGTGCTCTGCTGCTTCAGTCAGGGCACCGGGATGCCTCTCCAGGGCTGTGGGGCAATCTGGAGAGTGCTTCCTTGAAAGAGGGGCATTTTTGCCTTTTGCGTGCCAATGTCGAGGCGAGGCTGCCTGTTCCGGCAGAAAGTGAGACGGCCTGGAGCTGAGAGACCCCTTTTTCTGTCGTTGCAGCCTTCAGCGCCACCTGAGCAAGGAAACCAAGCCCATCCCGGGGGGAGGCCGGGCCAAGCCCACACCCAAGCCCAAACCCCAGCCGTGCCTTCCGCGGTGCAGGGCTCTGTACGCCTATGACGCGCAGGACACGGACGAACTCAGCTTCAACGCGAATGACTTCATCGAAATCATCAAGGAAGGTGACCCTTTTCTTTCCCAAAGCTCGAGCGCGTCCTTCAGCTCCTTGAGTCGGTGGGTGGGTCTTGAAAGAGACTACCAGGGAGTTGGCCCCTGGGGTCCCCAGAAGTAATCTAGCTGGGCTGGAGAGTGGGTCCAAGTCCAGGAACCTCTTCCGACAGCTAAACTTGTTTTTTTCCCGAGCGTCACTAAGGTTGCCCTCCTCCTTCCAGATCCGTCCGGGTGGTGGGAAGGCCGCATCCGTGGCAAAGAAGGGTTGTTCCCAGGGAACTACGTGGAGAAGATCTGAAACCAAGGGCGTGACGGCCTTTCTCCTGCGCTGCGGGGGGGGACTGCCCGTGACTTCCGCCTGGTGGCTGGAAAAGACCCGGAGTTACCCCGCAGGACGCTGTGGTAGGGCAGCTGACCGACACCCGCAGGAGAGCGAAGAAAGGCACCTAGTTGACCTGGAGAGATTAGTACCCACTCCTCTGCGCCCCCTGAAAGCAGCCAAGATAACCCCCTTGCCTCGCCTTGTACTACGCAGGAACAAGGCTGTTTACGGCACACACCAACGGCATCCCGCTGTCCTAGAAGCCTCACCTGTGAATATCAGCCTGGTGGACCTTTAACACGGGGAGGCGGAATGGGTAGCTGGGGAAGGAAAAGAGCGCTCCACCCTCAAAACGCCTTAAAAGGCAGGGAAAAAAATGGGAGTTGCGTCACAGCACAAAGCCTTCAGCCAGCCTCCCTCGCAGGAGCTTGGGTTTCAAAATGTGCAACGACCCGAGGGCCTGGTGCCGTCCCCGTTTCCTGCCAACCCGTGCGAATCTGAAAGTCTTCTGAAAGAAAAGAACTGCAGTGGTGAAAACTTAGAAGCGGGCAGCAGAGGGAATGTAGAAAATACAAGTGAAATAAATTATGTACATCGAGGCCCTTTCTGAAAATGGGTTTTATTTGCAGCTGCATTAAAAAAAAAAAAATCACCTCGTTTTCCCTGGGAAAGGATTCCAGGACAAACATTTTCATAATTTGCATCGGGGCGAAACCCAGGTCACTATGGCTTCTTCAACAGACCATGATTAAGAAAGCAGGCCGGCTTAGCGTGATGCGCAAGTGGAATTACTGGCCGAAATCCGTCTCCTCCTGCTGTTAGAGCAGAGGGTCTGTAACTTCAAAGGTGCAAAGGAGCCCCGACCAAGCTCAGGTTGCGCGCCACGGAGACCCCCATGTTTGGCCTCTGGAAAATGGGAGCCGCAACCTTGAGCAAACGCGCCAGAGAGTAAAAGCCGCCGAGAGAGCCTTTGCAGGCTGTGTTTGCGGGAGAGGAAAATTCATCGAAGGAAGGCCTGGAGGATTCGAGACCACCAGCCTCTGGCCTGCCAGAGCTGCTAAGAATTCCCACGGAACCGAGATAACTATTTTGCACAATCCCCACCCCAGTAGTACTAAGACAAGCACCAAATTAACATGGACATCCTAAACAAATGATGATGAAAACCTAATTTTAACCCATCGCCCGCCCCCGCCCCCCTTTTTTGCCAAGCAGGAAAGGGTCTTTCTCCCCAGATGCTCCTTCTGGAAATAAGAAGTTACCACAGTCACCGAACCTGTTTGCTTTCGTTCGCTCGTTTCTTTTAAGTATATGTTACAAGATTTGTTTAAAGGACACGCGCTCGGTTAGTTTGCATTAGTGACAACTCAAAAACAAAACGAAACCCCAGAACTAAAATAAACACAAATCAAAAGAGACCCCCCCCAAAAGAAATACCTTAAGACGAAAACCAAAGTCATTTTCTCCATTCGGCACGATTCAAAGGGGAGGGGAGGGGGGTAAAGCACATGGAGGCCTAAAGCACGGAAATGCGCCTTTTTGAACCCGCAGCGGCTACCTAAACTCTTCCAATAAAAAAGGTGCCCGGTCCGACCGGCTGCCGCCCAGACGGGCTTGGAGTTTGACCGTTTTCCAGGGGGCTGAGCTGGGCGTGGTCGGGTGGGAACGTGGCTTCGGATTTTGCTTAAACAGTCGAGGAAAGCTCGGGGCGGGAAGGTGGGGGGCAAGGACGGTGCTGGGAATCGGGGTTTCGGTGGGAAAAGAGATGGGGGAGATCAGACTCCAAAAATCACTGTGGCAGACAAACACGTGATTACCCAGCCGATCCCTGCTGGAACATCAAGGATCCGACAAAGGGGAGCATAGGGACGGGGGGGGGGCGTTGAAGAGCAGTACATAAGCCATCCATGAAAACGCCCTCCTGAGTCGGCTTGGCTACCTGCCCGTTGGGAGAGAAAGACCCCCCCCATTTAGAGGAACCAATTTCCGCCTGCTGCCCCCCACCCCACCGGGGTGTAGACGCGTCACACGAACTGGCCAAATTGTATTTGACAAGCAACGCCACGTCGTGGAGAACGTGCAGATTAGTCAGGGTGTGGCCTCGACTAACCGGGTTTGTTCTAAGCACCGGATGCTCTTGAGGTATTTTGGACTCCAGCAAAGACGAGGGGACAGAGATGAGCAGAGGGGAAGTCCCGAATACCGGGAGGGCACCAAGCTGAGGAGAAGTGGGGGCCAGGCACAGACCTCCAAACCCCGTGCCCTGGGACGGTCTGGGAAGGTAAAAACTTTTGGCTCGCTTTCGTTAGCCTTCGCCGTCGGTCGGCGGAGGGAACGCAAATCCACTTCTTCTGGGACACAAATGAATCAAGCCATGATTTGGGGTAGGAGACGGCCCCCTTGCCCTAGGAGCCACCCTTTCCAGACAGAGGGGGGAACCACCCAAAGTTTGAGAAGCGTGAAATAGCAAAAGAAAGACGGGAAGAGCCAGAATTCCTCTTGGGGGAAAACCTCTCAGAGCCTTCAAGCAGCCTTGGGGCAGGAAAGGAGGATCGGAGGGGGGACAGCCGAAGAACAGACGCCACCCGCCTTTCACGCCAGGGCGGTTTTTGCAAAACACACGTCCTCTTGACACATCGGGCTCCAACACCCGTGACATCCAGGCAGCACAGATGACGAGAGCTGACGTCCGGCCCCTCGGCGGGACACCCCCACGTGGAGACAGCCGACGCCCTGGGATCGCTTCTGGGTGCGGGGCGCGTGGAGGGGAGTGGATTTAATGCTTCTACTCTCTCTGCTACTTAAGCCCTACAACCTTTTACCGCAAGAGGTTTAAAAAAAGAGCGCGAGACCCCCAGCTCCACCCCAAAGTCGCCTGCCGAGGGAGGCTCCGACTCCAAGAAGCAGCCACCGAAAGCCCTTCTAGGATGACAAATGAGGCCCCTTCCCCAGCCCCAATCCCAGCACCTCGCACTCAACCCTCGGAAGAAGCCACGCGGGGGACGCCCCTCCAGTCGTGGCCCCGGGGCCCGCTCTGGGCCCAGCTAGTTCTCGGCCCCTACGGTCTGTCGGGCTTTGATGAAGGCCATGCCGTGGGTGCGGAAGTGAGTCTTGAGGTTGAGCTGGGTGTCGAAGCCTTTGCCGCAGACGGTGCAGGAGAGGTTCCCTTCGGCGGCCGAGGGGGAGCCTTCCTCGGGGCCCCCCCGGGGGACACCGGCCTCCCCCTCCCCTGTCCCTCGCTTCTTCTTGTGGGTGATGAAGCGGTGACGGTTCAGGGAGACCTGAGAGGTGAAGCAGAGTCCGCACTCGTGACACTGGTGGGCGCTCTCGCCTGTCCTGTGCCGCGGGATGTGCTCCTGGAAATCGGCCGCCGTGGGGGCAATGTAGCCGCACTTGCGGCAGTGGTACAGGGACCTCCGGTTGCCTTTGGGGGTCTTGGAGGGTGGGGTGGTGCTGTCCGGCTCTTCGCTGCATGAGTCCCCTTCGTCAGAGGAGAGCTTGCGTTTCCGGCTGGAGACCTGCAGCGCAACAGAAGGGGAGGGAAGCGAGAGCACCTGAGTTCGCAGCTGGCGGGCTCAAGGGCCCCCCGACCCTGCCAGCACCAAGAGACAAGTCACAAGGGGACAGCAAGCTTCTACCTCTTTCGCAGGATTGGAACGGAACCGGGAAACGCAACAGAGGTGCTAAGTCCAAAGGAACCAAATTCTACTTGGGTATAATCTCCCTAGCCGTGTCCCCAAAGCCTTCCTGCCTGACCTTCCCTCTGCCTCCCCCATTGCAGACCATTCCCTGAATCGGAGCGCTGGCCACCTTTGCTAGGGTACAGGTGACTTTGCAAATTTGCTTCCACTTTAACTCAGTATACTGTGAATCTCAGATTGGCCCCAAGACAAGATTCTCATCCTCACGGAGAGAAAAAATACAGATCTCTTTGTTCCTGCTGTTATCCCTCCGTGCCAGGTGTTGGACCTGAACACGGAACAAGACTGAACCTCCTCCTGAACCAAACCCTTTTTAATGGACTCGTTTGTCTAAATGAATCCCACTAAATTTATTAATTCAAACCCAAAATAGTGTTTTAATCTCGTTTGGGTTTAGCCACGTCAGAATTTGCTGTTCCTCTCGACGAACAGTGTGGTTAAACTGCCCAGAGAACGGTGAAAGGCCTGGCCTTTGGGGGGAAAGCAGGAGAGAAGTCGTGCCGTCAGCCGACCAACCGAGCGGAGCGCACGATCCCTTGCGGCAGAGATCCAGGTCTCTCAGACAGGGGAGGGGTCAGCCCCATGCAGCCCCTGTACCTGTGAGTTCCTGGAGCCCAAGCGGGTGGCGAGTACCTCCTGGCTCCGGTTGGCGTCGGTCACCTTGATCCCGTGCCGCACCTGGATATGCTTCTCCAGGATGAGACGGCTGCTGAAAGTCCGTTTGCCTTCGGTGCAGTACCTGGAAGGGCGGAGAGGGTGAGAGGCTGGAGCCCCAGAGCCCCCTCGGCCCTTCCCAAACAGCCAGAGGGCCGGGGACCTACCTGCAAGGGTAGACACGCTTGATGCCCTCATGATTCACCCGGATGTGCCTCCGCAGGCTGGGGGCGGAGCAGAAGGACCGTTCGCACAGGTGACACGGGAATTTCTTCACGCACTGGGGGGACAGAAGCTGGTGGCGTGAGGGAGCCTTCCCAGAGCCCTTCCTTCCAGGAAGAACGCAGGCTCCTGGGAACGACCCCCCCCACAACTCTCCCTGGCTGGGTTCACACGACCCGCGGGGCTGGCCCTGTGAGCGGGCTCACGTACCACCCAAGCTTGCTTAGAAGCTGCTGGACTTTTGCCCTTTGCAAGCCGGGGAGAACCTGCCAGCGAAGCTGGAACGCCAGCCGTGGAGACGCCTGGAGAGAGATGCTGCCCCAGGCCGCTTCCACCTGCTCTATCCGGGACGAGGGTCTCCCCCGTTCCCATCCTCACCTTCCCGTGGATCTTCTTCATGTGCACCACATACTCGTCTCGCTCCGGAAACCACGAGTGGCAGATCCCACAGGTCCAGCCATTGCTCCGGGACCTCCTGCCCAGCTCCGTCTTGCGCTGAAACCGGCCCCGCTTGCTCTTGCGCAGCTCGGGGGAGCTGGGGGGGTCGTCTTCCGAGGAGGAGGAGGAGGACGACGACGATTCGGAGGCCTTGGAGGCGGGAGGCGGGGGCTCCTCCTCGGCCGGCCCCTGCTTGGGGGTAATTGGGGCCGCGGCGGGGGCCAGCTTCTTTGCAGGCTCCTCCTTGGGCTTCTGCTGCTGGTGGCTGTTCTGAGGGCCAGGAGGAGGGAAGAGGCAGGTGGTCAGGCTGGGCCCAGCTGCCCTGCCCTGCCCTCCAGCGGGGTTCCTTCCCAGCTTCTGGCCAGTTCCCGTCCAAACATGCAGAGCTGATCACTGAATGGACTGTCCAAGTTGCTTTTAGGGCCAGAGGGGGCCACTTTCAAGTGGGGAGGAGGAAAGAAGCAAGCCCCCCAAAACTTTGTTTACTTGGGGAAGACGCTTCTAAATTTAAGAGAGCTCCCTTAAGAAAGAGAGTCTGAGACAAGCTCAGCGGCTCCTGTGATGCTGTTCTCGGTTCATCTGAGATGAAGCTCCCGTGACGCTAGATGGCGAACCTGCCTGAGATGTTTTC